CACCACATTACACAGCAAAGTTGCTTCTAGAAGTGAAGAAGCAATGTGACAAGAGACAGGGAATAAACTAAATATTTCAGTTCCTTAAAAAAAAACAAACCCAACACAAAATGAAAGCAACCATAGGTCATGTCTGAAGAATTATATCCTTAAGCACCTTAGAGACTATGTGTGCCCAACACCTTCCCATAACACTGACTCTAATCAAATGTCTTTATTTTTCCTCCCAGATCTCAGAAGAAGAGTTGATTTCCCCAGCTCTACCCAACTCTAAATAAGCTGGACATTGCCAAAAGTATCTGGGCTTTGCCAGAAAAATTAATTTCATCTTTTAGATTTCAACACTATATTTAAGGAGTCGTGTGATTATGCGCACGATTGGAAAGGATTTAAAACTTGTATGTTATCATTTTAATTCTTCATGTGTATGAAGAGAAGCCTTTAAGGTACTCGTTCTATTTACTTCTTGTGCAAGGTTAACAGCAAAAAAAAAAACCAAAGCACTTCAGGTAATACATACCAGGTGATTATTTGGCTATGCACATTTTTAGATAGCTTACACATGCTCAGTTCTGACTTAAAGCATATATGCATACATACATGTATGTGTACACATACACATATTTATAACAAGGAAAAAATGTGAAGTAGTAAAAGGCCAAGTGACTTGTCCAAGGTCACAGATGGAAGACAACTACAGAATCCCGTATTAGACATGGATGTCAAGTTTTATGTCCACACATGACCTACAAAGCTATCATTCCACCATGACAGGATACGAAGGAACATGAAGGCTTAAGTTTCACATCCCTACTTACTTATGTTCTTGCTTGCTACTCACCAGCTGAGGGATCTAAACCACGGTAAATCATACGAGTGATAGACTCTGTAACCAATAGTAATGATTTCGTGGTAGCACTTCACTTGGATGCTTAAGACCTAAAATAAGAGAAACAAAAAACTACATAAATATGCTGCAGTTGTTTCTTAAAGGCAGTAAATAGTACTGCAACCTGCATTAAAGGGAGAAATTACTCTGATTTCAAATTCCACACAGAAAACAGACAGCTTCAAAGCAAGCCCAAGGAAAACTAAAGCTCCATTTAAAAGCCCCGAAAACCTCAAAACCACTAGGCATGCTGAGAAAAATCACATTGGGCTAGTTGCAGAATACGCTCATGAAACAAGGGAAAGCTCCTGACTTTTCTTCATTGAACAGTTTGGCAGCAGCAAGTCAAAAGCCCTTGCTGTAAAGAAGGCTCTTCTATTTCTTTTGACTAAGTTTTATCTTTAAATTTAGTTTAAGAAATATTTTCTAGGCCCAATGGAAAAAACTAGCTGCGCAACACAACTCGGACACCCAGGTCTCCCACTTGTCAGTGTCCCATTAAGGGCAATTAGCACTGACCATTAGAAGCAAAGCTCGTCTAACCCAAGTCTGACCATCATACCCTCCACAGCCTTCGTTTTGTTTTGCCAGTCTCACTAACTCAGTGCTTGTCCGTGCAAGTCTGTCAGTACGTCCTGTCAGTCTTTGGGCTCCAAAGGACTCTGCCAGCTTTGTCTAATCCACAGTCACCAAGCAGATCGCCCTGCCCACATATCAGGTACTGCCAAGCACAGGTCATCAGTAATTCCAAGCAGAGGCAGGAGTAGGAACCTACTCACTCCGCTTGTGCATGTAGGCATACTTGGCTCTGCGGTATCCTCTTACCACCTGCATTCATGAATAAATTTCATCTTGCTCAAGGTGTGAACACAGTTTAAAATAGTCCTACACCACCTCGGTGTGTTAGTTTTGGAGCTCCCCTACCTCATGCTCTTTCTTCTGCTCGGTCTACGTTATAAAACTTAAATGCTATACACAAGAGCGACACTAAGGTCCCTTCCAACCCAAACCATTCT